TAAGAGTTGCAAAATCTTGAGTTTTATTGGAGCCAAGCTGGTCTTCACCACCTCTCAAGGTCATGTTCCTGGTCTGCTCTACCTCACAGGGCTGTCGCTTTGAGCTTGCAATGCCCCACAGCTAGCGGGGGGGGGGGGAGGGGGGGGGCGAGGGGAACCCAAAGCTATCTTTGGGGGGTCTCAGGATGCTGCAGCAGCCGGGAGCCTCATCTGAGTTACGCCTGAAGGTCTTGGAAAACTCCTCCCTGAACTACAGGCCCAGATGGACACCACATTCTCTCCATCCATAGAATCTGCCTTCCTGGAATCCTATCCCATCATCCCCCCACCCCAAAATGAGGAGGGATCTGGTCTTTGCACAGCTCAGCCCAAAGACCCCTTTCAGGGCAGCCTTTTGCTATGAGACATGGGTCTGCAGATTGCATTCGTATGTATGTATGTATGTATGTATGTATGTATGTATGTATGTATGTATGTATGGTGTCACAACCCCCGGTATGCCCAAATATCAGCACAAATGCAACACACACACACACACACACAAAGTCACAACCCCTGGTATGCCCAAATGTGGGAGGAAGATCACACTTCCATTCTCTGTCCTTCGGCTCGTCACAAGAGACCATCCAGACAGAAACCCAATATTTTTACTGTTGCCTTTTTGTTACATTTGTGCTGATATTTATTTATTTATCAGNGTTGGGATCACTTTGTTTGATGCCTGGAGTAGGTTAATTGAGATTAAACTGCCCTTAAAAGCACTAATTTCTGGAAATGGTTATATTAATAAAAAAAGATGGTATTCCCAACTAGATCATTGTAGCCTTCTTAGAACCGTGGAGAATGGGACAGAGGACAATGGATTAGATACCACTTCTGAGAAGTGACTCAAGAAAGACGCAAAGGAATTACTCCTAATTTCAAGGAATGTTGATCACTGCTTCGGTTCCTGTAGAATTAGATACTTAAGTGTGCAATTTCAAATGACTGTTTTCATGTTTGCTATTAGCCCAAAGCTAATCCTTTATTTCTGGATCAATCTTGTTTTCCTTCTCCTTTGTCTCAGAATATTATCTGAGGATTCTATTAATGAGTGCAACACAGGGGAGGCAAGCCGTTCTATTATTTTTTGTGTGGTTTATCAGATTGAAATAAGGAATGTTTTCAGTTGAACAAGTCAGTGGAAATTGATGGAAGGGAGCATCAACTTTCAGTCTTTTCATTTGTATAGGTGTTTCTCCAAGTAACTTTTCCCCCCAAGATCTGCAATCTTTCACAAAAGATGCACCAGAAAAAATCTTCACACAATGGTGATGTCTGTCCTTAGCTTAACAAGCCAGACCTCCTGTGTTCCAATCAGCTACTTATGGTTCCCTACAAAACGTTGTGGGCTGTCAAGGGCTGAAAGATGGCCTCCTTTTCACCCATCCAAGGAAACTGGAACAAGAAGAGAAAGAAGTCTTGTAACTCACAGTTATGTAGGCTTTCTTGGCCCTTCTTCTCCAGGCAAGCTACCTATTAAGATACAATCAGTTTAGCTTCCTAAATCCCAGGAGATGTGTCTCCTTTACTACAGAGCATTGTATTATTTATCTGTGTCTATTCATACCCCAATTTGTAGACTGATCACTTCCACCAGTGGTTTATAATGATTAAAGCTACAGTCTGTTCTGACCTAAATCTCTCAAGATCATGAAGCCGACTCCTCGTCCTGATAAAACCTCTTTTATTTAGGTTAAAATGAATTCCTTTCCAGCAAAGTCCCGGCCAACAGTCTTGCAAGAGATTTCACAACTACAGACCTTTATCAGGCTTGGAGAGCTGCCAGGATGATATCTTCCAAACACCATGCTGTAGCATCAATTACTTGGCAAGAAGTCAGGAACAGGTCTTCCCGCTGATATCCAACTCTGAAGGCAGCTGATAACTGTTGGGTGGCCCTGACCCCCTCTCTGCCTCCCACGCAGAGCCCTCATCAGAGTCTTCCCCAGACTCCAGGACTGGCCCAT